TCGTCGGTCTTCAAGTTTCAGTCTTCAAATTCGCCGATCTTAAAGTTGAATTATTTAAGCCCTCCAAATCTTTGAGTTGAAGTCTGCAAAGTCCGTCAAATCTTCAAAGTTCTCCAAGTGTTCAAGTCGATGTCATCTTCAAGTTGAAGCTTTATAACTTTCCAATCTTAAGGTGGACATATAAGTCCCTTTGCACCTTAAGTTGGCCTCTTCGTGGGTTTGTCCTTAAGAGGAACTATAACTTTTCAATCTTAAGATGGACATATGAGCCCCTTTTCACCTTAAGTTGACCTCTTCATGGGTTTGTCCTTAAAAAGAACTATAACTTTTCAATCTTAAGGTGGACATATGAGTCCCTTTTCATCTTAAGTAGGCCTCACCAATAGTCGGGTCGTTTTGAGAGTAATCTCTCCGATAGTCGGGTCATTTCGAGAGTAATTTCTCCGATAGTCGGGCCATTTTAAGAGTAATCTCTCCAAGAATTGGGCCATTTTGAGAGTCATCTCTCCAAAAATTAGGCCACATTGAGAGTAATCTCTCCAAGAATTGGGCCATTTTGAGAGTCATCTCTCCAAGAATTGGGCCATTTTGAGAGTCATCTCTCCAAGAATTGGGCAACATTGAGAATAATCTCTCCAAGAATCGGGCCATTTTGAGAGTAATCTCTCCAAGAATTGGGCCACATTGAGAGTAATCTCTCCAAGAATTGGGCCACATTGAGAGTAATCTCTCCATGAATCAGGCCATTTTGAGAGTAATCTCTCCGGTAGTCGGGCGATGAGAGTAATCTCTCCGATATTCGGGCAAGGATGAGTACTCATCCCCTCACACCCCAAGATCTTCTTCTTCATGCATGGATCATCTCGTTAAATAAGAACATATCCTTCTTGTTTGACCTACAAAAAAAAGAAAAAAGGACAACAAAGGAAGAAAAGCACAAGAAAGAAGAAGAAATTACCTTCGTGTTGATGCTCCCGAGACCACAAAACTAGACTCAATTGTCTTGAAGATTCTGTGAATCGATGATCAATGAACCTACGATCATGAGTTTATATAGCTATCAAAATTTGGTATTAAATATTTTTTTGGCGATGTGGGATCAATTGTTTAGGCGGCTCCAAAGTTTTGGTTCCCGACACGAACTAGTATATGGTAGCTTGACCCAAGTAGAAATCTAATTAAGCAGGTGAAGGGAGCTTGATTTCAAAAGAGACACGTACATTACACTACACTATTATCTGGAAAAATATCAAGACCCACGTAACTTAGTCTTGGATTTGCCATGCAAATTCTTATCTAAACATAAGTCCATACAAGTCAAGGCCTATTCTTACGTGGAGATTTACTAAGGGAAACTACCTGGCACTTGTGTATTGAAAAAAAAATACATCCTACAATATTATAACCTGGATTCAAGATTGTCTCTCTTAATCATGAAAGGTGCATATTGAAAATGAGAAGAAAACATGATTTTCCTTGAAAAGGGGGCGATTGGGTATTAGTCTCATAATACTTCAATCCTTGTCTTTCAAGTTCGAGATATTTACTCGACAAGTCTTGAAGTAGAGGGCATTTGTAGGCATATAAATTATATTAAATTAAATTCATGTAATAATTTGGACTATATTTTAAATTCAAGATATATTGGTCCAAACAAATATATGGGCTAATATAATTGGATTAATTATATAAGTCCAATATATATGGATTAAATAAATAAGTCTTAATCCATTGGGCTAACTCATTTAATTGAGCTAAAGTGATGAGCCCACTTAATTAAGCCCAAGATGTTATCTTCCTAGAGGCCCAGTTTGGTGGCACATGTCAAATGACGTGGCGCGCCAAGTCAAACGAAAGAGCCAATAAGATCATGCCATGTGTTAAAATGACAAGGCATGCCTAGTAACACTAAAAGGCCAATGAAATCGTGCCACGTGTGCAAGTGACATGTTCTGGCCAATCAAATGTGGTCATGTCATACTTCAATTTGATTGGTCGGAAAAGAGTTTGTTCTTATCACAACTCTTCCCTTCCACAACTATAAATAGGGGTCTTCATAACTCAGAAAAGACACCAGAAGTTATAACAAGAAGCAAGAAAGAGCTCGTGGATCAAACACTGCAAATTCCTCCACAAGTTTCAAGCTTCAAGTTCAAGTTCAAGCTGAAGAACGAAGAAGAAATCAAGTTCAAGTTCAAGAACGAAGAACAAATCAAGGTCAAGTTCAAGCAATCAAGCTCAAGCTCAAGAACAAGATCATCGTTCTGAGGCAACAAATACATATTCAAGATCAAGCTCAAAAGCCCTTGAATTTATTTACTGCTGAAAAGAAGAATTAGAGGATTCATAGAGATTGTACACTCAAATATTAGAAATAAAATACTATGCCTGTTGCGATATTTTCGGTCTTGCTTTTATTTTCTTGACGCAAATTATTGTCTACATAATGATAAGGGAAAAACAAGAATGATAAATTATTTTTCTCTTGATAACTTAAAAGTGACAATTAAAAGCGAAAATTTATTTTTAGAATACTGGACAAATAAAAATGAACTAAGGGAGTACTAAAGGCAACCAATAAATTGAATTATTTTTTTTGGTTTCCCATGCGGTGTCCGATATCTGCATTGGAGCCCGACTATATTTAGATTCTCGCTGTGTAGGACCCCATTCGAAAAAAGCGCTCCAACCAATTAATTTATCATTAGCCCAAGGAGGAAATATTTAATATTTTAGAAGTTCTAGGATTTCGATAAGCTGGAGATTTAGCGGTAAGTTTTCTTATTATTTTCTCCGTCGAAAGAAACACCAATAATTAATTAGGTTGACGGAATCTAATGGAATACGTGCTTCGTAATTTGATGTGAAGAAAGTCATCTCCCATTGAACGTTTTCTGAAGAAAGGTTTTGCTCAACAAGAAGCTCACATCATAATTTATCACTGGAGTTAAGTTATACACCCTCCGTCTCATATTATCAGTTGTGGTTATTAAAAATAATTATTTCAAATTATTTTTTATTTTAGAAGTTCAAGATAAAATTTTCCTTTTATACCCTTTAGTAATAATTGTTTTTGAAGATGGAAAAAACACATAAATAAAATAAATATTCAATGAAGAGAGATTTTATCTTAAAACATAAATAAGAGTCAAATTGTCTAATATCTTTTCTAATTAATGTTTCTTAAGGGACGTGTAAAAGAGAAACACGACAGATAATTTGAGACATAAAGAGTAATAAGTATCCACTAAAAGTAGTATAAACTTTATTAGAATTTAACTTTTGCACACTAGCAATGTAGTATTTATTTTAGAGTTTAACTAATATAAAAAAATTACACTCTCATGTCATCTTTACTGTCAATTTACAGGATTCTAGCTATGAAGATTGGTAATTGACAGCGAATTATAGAGAGAAAGCTAGAGAGAAGGAGGAGAGAAAATGAAGACGTTCATTATTATCGATATCATTGTTGGATCAATAACTGATCCGTTTTAACAAACTAACTTCCTAACTTTTCTTCATTACAATTTTGTATTCTAACTTTCTCCATTTACACTTTAGTCCCTAACTCTTAAGTAGTATCAAATATCACAAAACTCCCTCTCAAGATGGAGGGTGGAAAACATCCAACACTCCCAACTTGGACATAAGAATCTGGTGTTGTGGAATGCCTAAGGCTTTAGTCATCATATTTGCAACTTGCTTTTTTGTTGATATGTGTTCTGGTGCAATCAGTCCATTTTTGATTCTTTTCCTCACAAAATGACAGTCTATCTCTATGTGTTTAGTCCTTTCATGATAGATAGGATTGACAACAATCTGTAGAATCGCTTTGCTATCACAAAATAGCCTCACATGTATTTGAACCTCAATCCCAAGCTCTTTCGTCAACCCTGTGAGCCAAACTACTTCAGATACCATAACTGACATGCTTCTATACTCAGCTTCTGCTCACAGTCTGTTGCTTTTTGACTTCCATGAGATCATGGAATCACCCATCTTCACCATATACCCTGTGACAGATCTTCTTGTGTTTGGGCAAGCTGCCCAATCTGAGTCATAATAGGCTGTGACTTATTCTACAGGTTCCCTTTTCAGCAGTACTCCTCTTCCTGGACATCCCTTGATATATCTTACAACTCTCAATGCTGCCTCTAGGTGTGACTGTTTTGGATGTTGCATAAACTGACTCAGCATTTGAACAGCAAAACATATGTCATATATCAGCTTTCCTATAAGCTTTTGATATCCACCTATATCCTGTAATTCTTCATCTCTTGTTGCCCCTACATGCTTGTCATAGTCTACTGTAGTTAGCTTTTGATTTTGTTCAAGTGGGGAACTTGCAGGTTTTGCCCCACTCAATCCAACTTCATAGATCATACTAAGGGCATATTTCCTTTGATTGAGAAGGATTCTCTTTGGTGATCTCATGATCTCTATACCTAGGAAGTATTTCAACTCCGCAGATCCTTTACTTTAGAATTCAAATGCAATGTTTCCTTTCCTGCTTGTATCATAGCTTCACAACTGCTTGTAATCAATAGGTCATCAACATAGACCACTATAATCACTGTATCTGCACCACTTTTCTTGGTGAAGAGTGAATGGTCATAGGCAATTTGCAGAAAACCAGCTTTTTTCAAGGCATCAGTTAGCTTAATATTCCATTGTCTAGATGCCTATTTAAGGCCATAAAGTGACTTGGACAATTTGCAAACTTTGGACTCCCCTGCCTATGAAAACCTTGGGGCAGATACATGTAAACCTCCTCATAAAGGTCTCCCTACAAAAAGGCATTATTGATATCCATTTGAAAAAAATGCCAATTCTTTGAAGTTGCCAAGCTAATCACTATTCTGACTGTCACCATCTTTGCAACTGGTGAGAAAGTTTCATGGTAGTCTAGGCCCTCTTGCTATGTGTATCCCTTTGCCACAAGTCTTGCTTTGAACCTTTCTACTTCTCTATTTGCCTTGTATTTGATTTTGTATACCCATTTAGACCCAATTGCCCTTTTTCCACAAGGCAAGTCCACTACTTCCCAAGTGTTGTTATCTTTTAGGGCCTTGATCTCATTTTGCATAGTTTCAACCCACCTAACATCTTGTGAAGCTTCTAAGAAAGACCCTGGTTCTACTTCTGTTGAGATGGTTGTTAGATAGGCTTGGTAAGGAGTTGAAAGATGGTCATACGACACATATTGAGAGATAGGGTAGGAACTATGATTGGAGGAGTTCCCAAGAGTATAGTAATATTTCAGCCAAATAGAAGGTTTGACCCTTCTAGCTGATCTTCTAAATGCAATTGATGGTACAGGTTGAAACATAAGAGGATCTGCAGTAGGTGCAGTCTGAGGCAATTAATCATTGGGCTGAATGACTGAGACATTTGTAATAGGTTCTAGTAGTACATGATGCATTTGATCATGTGGCTCTTCTTGTGTCATTTCTTCTGATGCAAGTATTGAAGTCTCAGGTGCTGGAATGACATCTTGTTCTTGAGAGGATTCAACTTGGTCAACTTGATCAGCATTGTGATCACTAGCATGATCGAGTGGCATATCCCTGCTATTTCTTTCAACAGCTTCAGTTGTGTCTGTAGTATTAAGAACGAATAGATCCTAATGTTCCATGTGATTGTGATTAGTCTTGAAGGGAAACACATTATCTCAGAAGTTGACATCTCTGGTAACTAGGAAGGTGTTATTGTCTAAATCAAGCAACTTGTAGCCCTTTTGAGTCTCTGAATACCCTAAGAAGACTGTTCTTCTTGCTCTTGATGCAAACTTGTCACCTTTAGGATATGTGCTTGCATAGCACAAACAACCAAACACTCTTAAATGATCCACCTTTGGTGGCTTCTTATGTAGCAATTCAAAAGGAGACTTCTCTTTCAAGACATCTGAAGGCAGCTTGTTGGTCAAGTACATAGTTGTCTTCACACAGTCTCCCCAGAACTTCACTGGTATAGCACTTTGAAATGTTAAAGCCCTTGCTACCTCTAGAATGTGTCTATGCTTTCTCTACACAACTCCATTTTGTTGTAGAGTATATGGATAGCTTCTTTGATGCATAATACCTAGAGATGCATACAGATCATTGCACTGAGTATTAAAAAACTTTGTGCCATTATCTGATCTTATAGTCTTAACCATTGTGTTAAATTGGTTTTTGACCAAGGCAAAAAAGTCTTTTAACACTACTATTACTTCACTCTTTGAATGCAACAAACAAATTCAAGTATATCGACTGAAGTCATCAACTATTGTCACAAAATAATGCTTCCTGTCATAAGTTGGGATCTTATATAGACCTCACACATCAGCATGCACAAGTTGAAATATACTATCAGACTTACTACTACTATTTAGAAACTTGAGTCTGCTTTGTTTAGCTAGTGGACAGACTTCATATAGCTTGTGCTAACCTGTGTCAAATTTATTCTTCAGTTCCTCTAGTTGTTGTAAAGTACTTGATGATGCATGTCCTAATCTTTGATGCCATAATTCAGTATTTGATGTCTCCTCTTAGAAATCTTAGCTTCTACCACTCATTCCCTTCTAAGTATGTAGAGTCCACTATCTTCTCTACCAATCCCCAGCACATAGTCATTGTAGAGCCCCTGAAACATGCAGAAATCAAGGTAGAAGGCAGCCAAGTAGAACAACTCTTTAGTTAACTTGGATACTGAAAGTAGATTGAATTTAAAATCTGGCACATGTAACACATTTGTTATCCTTTGTTTTCCCAAGATAAGAGCATCTCCTGAGTGTGTGATTTTTGACTTATCTCATGTACGTATCTCTACTCCATAATTGTTCTCACCTTCAATTTCTTTAAGACTTTCTAATACTTCTTTGCAGAATGCTATGTGATGTGATGCACATATATCCATTATCCAATCATATACCCTGTTATTGGATATACTAGATAGCAGTGACATTGTACCTGCCATGTTTGATGAACTTGTTGCAGCAACAGATCCTTCCCCAATAGAAGATTTGGTTAGCAAATTGACTAAGTATTTGTAGTGCTCCTCTGTCATGAAACTTCCTAAGATCTGCACTTTGACATTTGCTTCTCCTTCTGCATTCACATTGTTAGCACAAGGTTTGTATCCACCTGGTTGCCCTTTCTTTTTGCTTTTAAAATCAGCTGGATACCCTATTATTTTATAGCAATTATCCTTTAGATGGCCTTTATACCCACAATGTTCATAGATTAGCCCAGGTTTTTTCCCTTTGAACATCTGTCCTCTACCTGCTAACATAGTCAAGGGATCCTTATTTGTCTCAACTTCTCCTAATGCTCTTCGACTTTCCTCCTGTACTGCAGCTGAATATGCTTGATTTACAGCGAGTACTGGCCTCCTCTGAAGAATGTTGCTTCTTATTTTGCTATAGCTCTCATTCAGTCCCATAAGGAACTGCAATAACCTCTGTCTCACCAAGTTATCGACATATGGCCTTGATTTTTCATAATCACATGAAGGCAAGGGTGCCAATATGTCCAATTCATCCCACAAATCTTTCATCTTTGAAAAATAAGAGGTAATTAAATCTGTACCTTGTCTAAGTGTCGCAATTTCTGCCCAGAGTTGATAAATCCTAGTCAGATTGTCTTTGTCAAACCTCTCCTTGAATTCATCCCAAACCTTCCTTGCACTCGTAGAGTACATAATACTCGGTACCAATTCGCTTGATATTGTGCTACTTAGCCATGAAAGTACCACCGCATTACACATGTCCCATTGTGCAGCTAACTCACCTCTATATGAGCTCTTAAGGCAGCTTCCATCCTCAAACTGGAGAGAGAAAGCTAGAGAGAAGGAGGAGAGAAAATGAAGTTCTTCATTATTATCGTTATCACTGTTGGATCAATAACTGATCCCTTTTAACAAAACAAACTTCCTAACTTTTCTTCATTACAATTTTGTATTCTAACTTTCTCTATTTACATTTTAGTCCCTAATTCTTAAGTAGTATCAAATATCACAAAATTTACATATTGTAGTGAGTGACTTGATTAGTTCATAAGATTACAAATCCTATTTTTTACGAAGAAATATCTGTAAATGTCTTTTGAATGAAATTGATAATTATTGTAAAAGTTTTCTTCACATCGTCGGTGCATATAAATTAAACTCATTTTGTAAAGCATGCTGATAATATATGTGAGCACGTGATTTTTGTTTCGCGCGACAATCGCTCCAAAAGAAATAAAAAGTAATAACAATTGATCCTGTTGAACAATTTTTGGATTTTTACATGGCACTTTGTTAATTATTTATGATTTTTTGCCCATTTTACTTTATTAAAACAAAATAAAAAAAAATGTACGTGTCATGCGTAATCTGAACCGTAACACGGTTGTTAAATAAAAAATCATAAATAGGCATCTTTGTCCGTGATTTTGTTCTTGCTTGATTTTACCTGTTTTAAAATATTTTAATGTGTGTGCAATTAATTGTATTAAGTGTTTATTTAATCTTAGTTTGATTTTACTTAGGTTTTGTTTTTT